ATGTGTATAAGAGACCAGTCTTACACCACTGCTTATAAGATGAATGGAATCAAATCTAGGTGGTGGGGTCAACATTCCTCCCCCGGGAAAATTTTGGCGGGAAATGACCTTTCTCGACTTTTGAGCTAGGTGTCTAATTACTTTGTTCTTCAAAATTCAAGGTTTTCCCCCTCATGAAAACGGTAAGGTAAACTTTCTCAGCAGTCATACAAAAATCTCCAGACATTATATATTTTTCGCCAAAAAGTGGGGGGCGGGCCCCCGGCCCCCCCGCTTCCGCCGGCCATGCACCTGTCTAAAATGGGAACCTAATAGTGTTTATTCGGTTGTTGTTCATTAAATATTATAGTTAGACACATTTTGCCCATTGAGTATTTGTGTTTATTATGTTGTGGGAGAACGTGACTCAGTCAGACACAAATTCTTGGCTTTTTGTATTGTAAAAATGATGCTTTATTCACGTCAAAAATATATCCGCAAACAAAACACGCAATAGTGTATCGATACGTAACAGATGGACAAGTTACAGATAACAGTTGATCACGACTTACATCGATTACAATGCTTGACATGGATTACAACAATTGCATCAATTACAAGGCTTACAGCTATTACAACTATTATATTACACACAGACACAATTCAAAACCTGAAACCAAAACAAATACATATTACATTATTTTAACTAACGAATTGGTCCGGGCTAAAATTTGTCCGGGGGACTGATTTTGGCCGGCAAAAATCAGTCCTCCTTGGATAATATTGGTCCGGCCTGGAAAAATTTTGGCTTAGCCTAAATCGATCCGCCTACACCTATACGAGTTCGTACACAACCAATTACAGCACAATGAGTGCTTACCTATCGGTCCGCATAGATTTTGAGGGGAAAATCTTTTGGTGGGAAATTAGATTGAACGACCAATGAAAATGAAGGTGATGGGTGAAGTCCAATCTTGAGCCTATGTTGCATACATCGCCGCATATAAGGCTACAGCAGCTGTATGCGAAGGAATTCATTTGATAGCAGAGGCCGGGCTCGGTTTGGTTAGTAGAGTACAAGAAGTGAAAGAAAGATTGTGCTTTCTTTTTAGTTTCAGGGTGATGTACACCTCACAAGGAAGATATAATTATTTGACATTTTAGTAAGTCGATATCCATTAATTAAGCTGCTGAAAATAAGGAAAAAATAATGATCCAAAATATCGTTGTATACAGTATATTATTATTCAACACACATTCACCCCACCCCCTCTTTCTACCAAATATATAACGGGCACGGTTTAGAAGGGGGTGTGGTGGTTTATCCTTGTCCCTGATAAAAAAAATTAAAAAAAGAAAATAAATAAATAAATAAAAATAAGAGAAAAAGAAATAATTGGTCGCCTAATACGCCTCAGAGGTTATTTTCGGTCGTCCAGAGAGTACAGGAAAGTACTGTTGTGGGAAACATTAACTGGATATATGGACATACTGTATATATATGTACCGTAGCTCTCTATACAATAATAATCTCCACCCAGGTTCTTTCAGCTACAAAATGAAACAGCAAGCAACAAATCATATGGAATCCAATATAAAATACACTATTTATTACTGCTCACTCGTAAAACTCAATACTAACTACACTACTCTGCCAGCACACATGGTACCCCCTGGTTACTCACTCCAACCACAAAACCTATTTACTGTACACACATATATATAT